CAATAGCGAACACTACTTCTCTCCACTACAATTGCAGACGTTGCTCGGGCGATCGGACCAACTTTTGGTTGTCGAGTTTTCGGTGATGGGATTTGTGGCCAATTGTGGCCAATACGAGTCGCTGCAGCGGCAGACTGCCACTACTTGACTTGTATGCTTTGTGGCATACAATTTTGGGGGCCGGACCCGTTCGTCGCTCAAAATGATTGCCTCGACCAGCCAACACTGCAAGCCACTACAAATATGACAAGGCACGGGCGGCCGGACCAGTTTTGTCGCTCGTTGCTGCACCTGTGTGTGTGGGTGTGCATATCCATCATACACCAATTCGCACTCTGACGCAACACCCACACAGTCGGTTTTGGGTGGCCGGAACATTTGCCATTCATCAATTGACTATGATGACTTCACGATGCGGTACATTTTTTGGGCGGCCGGACCCGTTTGTCGCTCGAAATGATGTATGTACATACGCAGACACCTTGTACGCCACAAGCCACTACAACTATGACAAGGCACGGGCGGCCGGACCAGTTTGTCGCTCGTTGCTGCATCTGCATCTGTGTCTGTGTTTCTGAGTTTGTGTGCTGCTTTAGCCTGCCTTCACTCACATTGGCCTGGCCATGCCATGCCAGCCAGCTTGGGTGAGTTTTGAAGCCATTCCCGAATACTTGATGCGGCACACACACACACTCAGACACACAGCCAACTTCCGGGCGGCCGGACCAGATTGCCGCTCGATGGACCACAACCATGCTGTACTCTTTAACTTCTGGAGGCCATTAATACATTGACGACGGCGTTTCCTATCCAACATGCCACTACACAACTGAGACGCCCATAATCCAGCAGCATGGCTGTGGTACAGGAGGATGACGGAGCTGGCCGGTATTGACGGGACAATGCAAATACTGCATTGCCTCTGCTCATGCCTGCTGGTGCTTTGTTGTTGCTCGTCCTCCTGTTAGTACAAAATAGACAAGAAAAACAGATTAATTATAAGGAAAAACTGTTGTGTTTATGTATTTTATGATTGTACGTACCTTGCCGTTTCTGTCTGATTGTAAGTAAACGTAATTTGTTTTCTCTTTTATTTTTGCATGTATCTGTGTTTCTTTTTAAATTGTTTTCCACAAGCCATTACTGGATGCTTGCCATGCCTACATATTGTACGGGACAGACTGCAATTGTCGAATGTAAGCAATGTTACTCTTCTTCTTGCCAGTCGTCCAATTGAAATTTATTTTCAAATGGCCATTACAAATGCAATTGTAGGCATGCACATCCCCCCCTTTTATTCATCTCTTACCTTTTTTCCTTCTCCTTGCTATCCTCTTTTTGTCCTTGTAGTTTATTTGTATCATATTGTATTTTAATTTGTTTTTAGTTTGTTGTGCTGTTTAAATGTTTCCATGGTCCAATTGTAAATATTTTAAAGTCCCCACCTTCTTGACCCTTCTCCCCATGGAACTATCGATAGCCAAAACAATTTGCCCAGCCCTCGATAAAATTTTTAAAATCCCCCACCCCCCTTGCAAGTTAATTTATTCTTATTTATTGACCAGGTGGCAGCCAGCTACCTATAGTAATTTATTTATATCGCCAATACACTTTTTAACACATTGCCACTACTCTGTTTAGCCTCCCCGATAGTTGGAATAGTTTTTGCCATTTCGATTAATTTGATCACTTTTGACTAACTATCGCTTGGAGCGCCCCGCAAATACTAGTATGTTTTTGTATATTCTTTTTGTTGGATCTCTCTTGTGAATTAAACACAGTCAGCACACATGACGGTAGGCCAATAAAATGGAATTTTGACCCGCCAATTTATATCCCACACACTGTGATAGACTGACAGACTGACAATTGGACGGTTTTTTCCCTTTTCCCTTTTCTCTCTCTCTTTGACAGTTTAAAAGCCAATTCATATTTAGAATTAGAGTCTCGTTTTTGTTGTTTCTTCCCACATTTTTCTTTGAATTAGCGTTAGAGCTCAGCGTTTTTAAAAAAGCCATTACTATCCATACAAAAATATTGTTCGCGAAATCTTATTCCCGTGCTGTCACAGGCATTGGTCGAGTTTGTTTTCACATCCATAATTGGTAGAATAATCGAATGGATATTTCTTAACAAGTAGGGCTGTAGTCTCTCTCTCGCGTAAAATTCACAAATGCAAATGAAAAAAAAAAATGTTTCTGGTTGCTGTCATGTCACTTTGTTTATTCGTATTGTAATACGATGCGAATTGTTGCTGCCATTTCACACAGGCAAAAACCAGAGGCAGGGAAAGTAAAAGAACAGAGGCTCTATTGACAAAGGCGGAGACGAAGAATGTCCACTGTCCAATTTGGGGGGTAAGTGGGGTACATCAGTCTGATAGGTAGGCGCAGCCAGTTGAACATGCTATAGCCATTTATTGTAGCATACTTTTAAGCGCCGACTGACCCACTGACCGACCGTATGAGTGAACCTACATCCTCTCTCTCTCTATTTTTCGGCTGCCCTTTTGCCCTCGGCTCACGAGCAGTTTCGGCTGCTGCTGATGCTGCGCCAGTTTGGTTTGGAGTCGACTGAGTGGAGTAGATCGATCGCCGAAATATAGTTGATCTCTGGCAGCGTTTGCCTTCGGTCGTCTGATAGCTTGGCTTTTCTTCGAGTCGAGTTCCGGGTCGCGTCGCCATTTCGCTTCTGGGTCGTCGTTGTCGCCGGCTAGTCTTGAGCTTGTGATATAGTGGACGGTGGACAGTCTTGTGTCTTGCTTCTTTCTTCCCACACTGCTCCCCCCAATACAGCAAAAACAACAACAGTCAGACTCATATATCCAAAACCAATCAAACCATACAGATGGTGCCTGCAAAAACCAAAAACTGAGAGCCGGAAACGAATACGAGAATATATAGATAACGTAGGCAGTGCCATAGTGCTTTTATGTACATGCAGATATGTATATATGTGTGTAAATTCTGTGTGTGGAGTGCCAAATAACCAAATAAAAAAGGGAGGAAAAAAGTGAAAAAATCAGACAGCTAGACAGACAGACGCGCAGCCGCCATTGCCAATTTTCATTATCGCCGTCTCGTCGTGTCTCTCTCTATCGTCGTCTCTGTCTCCCACGCCGTTCTGACCCAACGACTCTGTGCCGCCCCTCCTCCCTCTCTCCATTTTTGACGAGTGTGTGCTTAGTGCCTGTGACTCTGTGCATGTGTGTGTCTTCTCTCATTCCCCTCTCACTGTCTTTGTGTGAGTGCATGCGTCCAATACGTACACTTGTATACTTAAATGTATAAAAAACTGTAATTAAAACTGCAACTAAATCAAAACTAAGCCAATACGAAACAAATTGATCCAAAGAAAATATACAAAAATATACAAAAATACAACAACAACTAAAATACCAAACGCGTTGCTTTAATTGATCGGTAACGGGTCGGGAGTGGGTCGCATACCTGCCACTAATCTCAAGACAATACCAACTCAACGAATCCAATGCCAATCCACCAACAAGACGATATGTCGAGGACAAGAGAGACGACCGGCAAGAGGCCAGCAGCAGCAGCAGCAGCAGCAACTAAAATGGACGACGAAGAAGAAATGATGATGATGACGACAACAGCAACTACAACAAGGAGAAGAAGCGTGAGAGGCGCCAATACTCACTTGGCCGCTGCAGCAGTGATTGATGACGCCATCATCACTACCACCACTACAACTACCACCACTACTGCTGCCGCAAATGCAAATGCAGCCGCTGCAGCCAATGTTGAGGACGCCCGGCAAATTGAACTGTCGACCACCATTTCCATAACCACGTCCGATTCAGACTCCTCCTCTGCGAGTGACGGTGAGTTTGATTGCACGGTTATTGCCACTCCTTGTACTAGCCACAGGCCGGCGGCATCCACATGTACGCCGACGCCTGCTGCAGCAGCAGCAGCAGCAGCAACTACAACTGCAACAACAACAACAACGGCAGCATCGCCATCATCGCCAGTGATGACTCAGATGGAGGCCATGGCAGCATCGGCTGCAGCTGCAGCGTCTTTGGCGCTTATTCCGCCCCCACTACCACAACCAAAAGCAGCGAATCCGACGACGATGGCTCTGCCTGAGCAGGTGCCGGCTTCCGGGCCAGCGGCAGCAAAACCAACACACACACAGGTGCTTGTGCGTGAGATGACGAGAGTGCAGCCAGCACAGCCATTACCCTGCGTCCCAAAGGTCATCTTTGGGAATCTCCCGCCAAGCACAAAGAGAGTGGCCGATATGATGCCAAAAAGCCCGCCTATTACATTCCCTCACTTGCCCCCCACCACTGTCTCCCCATTACCAGCACACACATATGCCAATGCAGTTATTCTGCTGCCACCAGTGTCCAAGTGTGCAGCCAGTGGGAGTATGGAGATAAGCGATGGGGGATGGGGAGAGGGAACAGCAACTACAAATGCATCGTCGTCGTCGTGAGCAGCTGCAGCAGCAGCGCAGCCAGCAGCAGCGACAGCAGAGACGACGATCATCGGAGAGCGCATGCGTGGGTGCGCTGAACTCTGGTCGCGGTCAGTGCCCTTCGGCTTCGGCTCTGGCCTGCTCTGCTCTCCCCACTACTCGCCAAAAGGTTGCTGAGAGTGCTCTCGCCCAAGCCATTACAACTGCAAATGCACTCACACCCACACCAACACACACAACAACAGTGGCTGGTACGGCTGGCTTGTCCAACCTCGAGCCTGGTTCGAGTTCGATGACGTGCTCGATATTGGGTGCGGGCGGGGCAAGCGTGAGGAAGAGGAAGCGTACCTTGCTTGCTGATCTTGGTAGGCGTGGCGGCGCCGATGGTGGCGTCGTTGTTGATGACGACGACGACGAGGCCAACTATGGTGATGAGGATGAGGATCTGGGGCCGGCACCTAAAGTGGTTCGACGGCGTCGCCAATTGCGGCGCCAGCAACAACAACAACAGCTGCAATTGCAGGAGCAGCAACAACAACAACAACAGCAGCAATTGCAGCAGCAAATGCAGCAGCAGCGACAACAACAACAACAACAGCTGCTTAGCCAGCCACCGTCAGGCTCCCTCCAAAACGCCCCCTCTCCCCCGCCAATCCAAATCCAAATCCAAATATATTGCTGCCAACACGTATTGCCATCGCTGCCAATCCCATGCCCATTCACGCTCTCAGCATTGCCGCTGCCAATCCTCACACTGCCACCACCAACAGCATAAACATCAACAACACCAACGCCAATAACAGTAGCAGCAGCGGCGGCGGCCCCCCACCACCCGATGGCCACTTTACGCACCAGCCCAGCCAGGAGCGTGGCCTCAGGCTCCTGATCCACCGTCTCCCCAATGCCACTCCTACCCACTGGATCAAGGAAAAGCTGCAGGAGTTGGGTTATAATGTCGTTTTTATTAGGGCTCGGCCCGTGAATGGTGCCAGTGGCAACAACAACAACAGTAGCGGCGTAGGCGGCAATGTTGATGTTTCGGCCTCAGCTTGCAGCAGCAATGGCATCTTCGAGGCCGTCATCTCGCCAAAACCAGAGCGTGGCCATTACTCGGTTCTCGCGCTCCTTGAACTTGGTGGCCGGTCGGTGACAATAGAGCGCCAAGCCACTCCGCGCAATCCCGTGCAGTGCCACCGCTGCCAATCCCTAGGCCACACTCGCAACTACTGCAGGAGGGCTTTCGTCTGCATGAAGTGTGCCGGCCCGCACTCAACCATCACATGCACAAAGCCAAGGCATCTGCCGTCCAAATGCGCCAATTGCCAGGGTGCCCACATTAGCGCCTATAAGGGATGTCCGGCATACAAGGGGGCTAGGAGTCGCCTCAGGTCGCACATCATGGCGATGCGGGTGAGCAGGAGGAGCCAGGGCTGGCGATCTTCTTTGCAGCAGTCATCCGGGGAGCAGCAACAGCTGCAGCCACGCCAACATCAACGCCGGCAGAGCCATCGCCGTGGCCAAAATCGGCAGCAGCAGCAGCAGCAGCAGCAGCGGCAGCGGCAGCACCAACATGAACAGCGACTCCCTTTGGATCGACAGCAGGCTGCAAATGCCAATTCCAATGACGCGGCCAGTCCTCAGCCATTCCAGCGCCAGCATCAACAATCACGGCACAAAACACAACAAGAGCAGCGTCGTCATCGTCGCCAGCCGCAGCAACAGCAGCAACAACAACAACAGCACCAACAACATCAGCGGCGGCCTGCTGGGCGGATTGATGATGAAGGCATTGTTGCCGGTGGCGCTGCGATGCGTTCCTGTGGCAATGGTGAGGACGGCTGTGTCGGGCAGGAGACTGCAAGAAAGATTGCTACTATGGAAACCAAACTGGCGGAAATGATGCATCTACTTACCAGTCTGTTGCGTCCAGAGATTGCCTCGCGGATGCCGCCGCAAATTGTGACCAATCCAGCCACTACTACGGCCAAAAAAGTGGCCGCCACTGGTCGCAAGCGGAAGAGGCCATCGAGGAATGTGGCCACCATTGATGGCAACTCAGCTGCAGCCACTCCTACTTCGGCTCCAAGCCCATTGGAGGCGACGGCATCATCGTCGAATGAACCTTTGGCGAAGCCATCGGCGCCTGGGACGCTGCCACTGCCACTCGAAAAGCCGGCGCCTGTCCTCGAGGTGGATGATTCAGAGATGAATGCTTCCGAGTATGATGACGATGACGAAGATGGGTGGACGGATGAGGATCCTATAGCCGATCTGAGCCGAATTTGGAGCGGCCAAATAGCCAGGGCGTTGTCCAATCAAAGCCAAATGGACGAGGGCGTCCACTACTAGAGATGCCACTACAAAAAAGAAAGAAGAAAGAAAAAGCAATTAAAATATGAAGCAGCCACTAAAAACAATTAACATAAATTAGCAAAAACACACAAAATTGCCACCACCAATAGCGAACACTACTTCTCTCCACTACAATTGCAGACATTGCTCGGGCGATCGGACCAACTTTTGGTCGCTCGAGTTTTCGTCTGAGAGATGGGATTTGTGGCCAATTGTGGCCAATACGAGTCGCTGCAGCGGCAGACTGCCACTACTTGACTTGTATGCTTTGTGGCATACAATTTTTGGGCGGCCGGACCCGTTCGTCGCTCAAAATGATTGCCTCGACCAGCCAACACTGCAAGCCA